TCCTATCCTCCAGACAGCGACTGAATTCCACCTAGCTATGTAGCTAGTGTCGAAAATTCAATCCCTCTACCACCTGGACTCGAAACCTATTATGGAAAAAAGAAAAAAAAAACACAGAGAAAAAAAGAAAAAAGAAAAACAAAAACGTTGGAGTATATCAGATCCATGATACTGTAACAAGAAAACTTGTTACAGTATCATGGATCTGGTATGCTCCAACGTGTTTTTCTTTTCTTTTCTTTCTTTTTTTTAGGACCTCTCGATCACAGTTGACGCCCTGAGCCTTACGTGAAATTGTCGGTGTGCCGGCGGCTCTGCATGTCCTGCAGCTCCTGCAGGTACTTGCGGCGGCGCTCCTCCTGGTAGATGCGGCGCATGGCCTCCGCCTGGCGGCGCGCCAGCTCCTCCTCCGGCAGCGCCTCCTTCGCCTCGGCGCGCACGGGGCTGCGGTAGTGGATGGTCACCTCCGACTCCACGTAGCGGTGCGGCGACTCTGCGCACACCGACACACGCGCCGTGAGTGTGCGTTTGCCTCACCGCCGGCGAGGGAGCGCACCAGACGCTCACACATTCACTCAACGCATTCTAAACTTTTTTTTTTTTTTCCTCCTTTCCAGGATCCTGTGGACTTAACCTTTGGTACGCTGGCCCTTGACAGATCTGAAAATTCGTATCTGATCACAGTCACTCCGTTAGCACATGTATGCCCCAAATTAGGTTAGGAAGCACGCAAGGGCCACGGAGGTGGCCCAAGATGCACTCACACTCATTCACGCAGTCAAGGTGGAAGAAAATGTTCTCAAAGTGCGACAGTTGAAAGTAGTTTTCTTTGAAGAATCATGTGGACCTAAAACTTTGGCACTCTAGTCCTTGACAGACCTTAAAATTTGTCTCTTACCACAGACACACCGTAAGCACATGTGTGTCAGAAGTCAGATTAGGAAGCACCCACAACAGGCCACGGAGATGGCCAAAGGCAAATTCACGCATCCGGGGTAGAAGAAAATTTCCTCAAAATAATTGAAAGTTGTTTTTTTAGAAGAATTCTGTGAACCGAAAACTTTGGCACTCTGGAGTCAGGACCAAGACGGGTCGCACCATACTTGAAAATTCGTCTCTAACCATACAGACGATGTTTAACGATTCCCCGATTTACCTCTCTTTTTATCACTACACACAACTTATTTTAAAAATTGAAGCAAAAGACGGGGAATATTCTACATACTTTGGTGAACCAAACATCCGTTCCCAGCGCCTATGCAGGCATCCACAGTTCAGAAAGCTGAATTGTATTGTACAGATCGCGAATTGTCTTAACGCCGTATATTCCACAAGTAACACTTCAAAACTCGTCTTGTCAGATTGTATCTAGGATTCGGAAAAGGTATTCTACTGTTTCATAGCTACACAAATACATTTTTTGGATCAGGTTACGTTCTAAGCACGTACACATCAACACGTTTTTGTAGATCATACAAATTCAGACAATCATTTTAAGGCCTCTCAATAAAGAAAAAAAAGTGTTTTGTCTGTATACTTCCCACGTTTATAGGACGGCCATACTACCAGAATGTTTTGTACCCAACACAACCCCGATAGTCGATATACCAATTTTTCAAAATGCAAAGAAAATAACCGAAATCCCTCCGCTAATATTCACACCAAGGACATCATGAAGGTTCTCACTAGAAATATTTATACCACATACAATCACATCCGTATTTTTGAAACTCAGCAGACATTTGAGCTGGTTATTTCAATACCACAGTAATACTTAGGTGCCTGAGAAATTCCGTGTCGTGACATTCCGAAAGGAGAAAATCTCTTTCGACAGAAGGAAGGAAGCAATTTTCGTAGCTGCTAGCGGACAACGTCGCTTTCCTCAGCAGTTATAAAACGTGTAAAGCGACCAGGTGACAAAGACAGAGCTGGTAACAAGACACGGTGACAGTGGCAACTATTCGCGCACAATCGTCCTATGCACAATACGGTGCCAAGCAGCCGTGATGCGGCATTTCCATTATTGTTATCATTATCTTAAGCGCAACCGTACCTTACCATTCCCACGATCATAAGCGTCTGTCCACATGCAGTGGTCTGAATCCTAGCATTTACAGAACAGAATGCACAGTATAAAGAAAAATTTAAAAAGTTCTGGAAGAAAGCTCGAAATTTGATTAAAAATGAAGAGCATCTGGCAGTCTTCTACGAGACATAAATCGCACATTTTCTGGAGAGATGTGAATAAAATTATTCGAAGCATCATAATTAATACCTTGACTTCGTAACCGATGAGCGATTTAAATCGTCTTGTTTTTCTCTAACAAAAAATTACACAGAAAACCAATTGGCACAAAGACCTGTAAATTTCAAAATTTTCACTTTGGTAAAGATTCGCAGAAACTGATCTGCCTGAAGTTTCAAGCATCATTGAGGGACTGGCCAACCAAAATGACGTACAGTATGTAAATGTTTGCCGCACGAACAAAAGACTTTTTCAGAATGCTCATGAAAAGTGGACACGTCCATGAATGAAATTATACTATATTGAATTAAAGTTAGCTTCACGTTTCTCAAATTTGTCAGGCGATAATTTCTGGTTTACATTGTCCCGGCTTTGTTCCATGCTTCATACATTTCATCCTCTCTAGTGAACATATAAGGTTTCGTAGGTTTGATGCGTAATGCACCAAGGTAAAACTTCGAGACGGGTGGCAACATCCAATCTCTTCCACTCATTCCCTATCTGTTGCTATAGGATAACAAAAGTCAATTTTATTCAATCTGTTTAAAATAATGGCAAGCTGCCAGTTTGGGGTTACAATAGGAATGCAAACTACAGAGTAAAACACAATAAAAGTATACATTAAAACAGCAACTGATCCATAACGCAGAAATGGATGATTAAAACATGAGATGAATGAGTCTAGGTGTACAAACAGAACTAAAAAAAGTTTTTGACAAGCATTACGTTGCCAACTTTCCTCATACACAGGCACCAACGTGTTGAAGGAGGTATGCCGACCCGCTGAGTTAAGTAGGCTCGCAATCCGAATATGCTGTGCGAATTTTCGCATGACCCGCACAGGAGAAAATATATCGAGTGAGTAAAACATTTTAATGAAAAGCCGTTTATACAATTTACGATTGCTCTCAATGTCACATCAAAATGGGATGTGGTGCGACCAATTTATGTTAAAAGTTTTGAATGAACTGAGTAAAATTACCACAAAAAAAAATGTTGGAGTGGTCCTACAGGCATATCCACCCTCTCTGGATGCAGTCCGTCCAAAAATTCTCGAGATCTGCGGCGCGCGAAGCAGGGATGCTACATTAATGTTGTGGCTTTCAAAACATATGTGTTTTTGGAATAAATAGCGATATTTTAACATAAATTTATTGAAACTACGGTTTTTTATCACTGACATACAATGCTCGACGTTTTTACACGTTTAAAATTTTATTTTCGAATGGAAAAAAGTATTAAAATAACTACGAAAAACTACAGATTTTCAAATTTCAGTAAATTGTTTTTTTTATATCAAACTCACCAAGGTTGAAATTAAGTTAGTAGAATTTTCGTTACAATGTTTTCAGTATGTTTTGTCAATCTTAATTATAAATTAATGAACATGACAGTCAGCTTAAATACCCCCCGCACCAACATTAATGATACTAAAAGCAGCTTTCAAAAGGTGGTCGTTCAACAACCTCGATGTTTTTGGGGCGATGAATTATTGGCATCGACGTATTCATTTTGAACCTCGATGAGTCGAAATATCGATGTGTGTCGGCGATGTCCCACCCGCCCCACGCCCTCCCCACCGGCCTCGACCCGCCAGCGAGAGCGAGCGCCCGGAAGAGCGGCACTGCTCTTGCGCCGCGACCTTCGACGCCCTCCCGTGCTGCCCCCGACGCCGGGCCCCGCGCGCGCCGCGCCATTCATGGGCCACCGCCAGCACGCTCGCTGCGCCGCCGCGCCGCCAGATGCCGTGCACGTTTCGCGCTACGCGGAGGAGGGCCCCAACCGATCCGAAGTCACGGGTGCCGGCCTGGGTAGGTCGAGGTCGCTAACGCTGAAGAGCCTCGACTCGAAGGCCCACGGGGTTGAATCCCGCCTCGGGCATACATGTGTATTCGTAGAATTATCCATATGTCACTGAAGTCCGCGACTTTCTTTTCATCGCCATTGGCAATTTAGGATTAACTAGCCTTATTATAGGCCTCATCAAGCCTCAGATATTGAGGTGATGGCTGGTGATGATCATAGGCGCCACTAGGGGGTGCAGTTGCATCTCTGAATTATGAAACACTTTGGAGATAGTCACGGTTAGCCATAACTAATTTGCTCTAAATCGACCAGTTAAAAAAAGACGATAGTCAAGCAAGGAGGTACCATATTTTTATTATTATGATTATTGTTATTGTTAATATTATTACAATTTAAACTATTTTCTAGTATATTTCTCTCTAGATGTCTCTTTCTCTCTAGAAATCTAATTGACAGCGTCAATGTTGATGGCAAACTTATGACAGAGGTAGGGTGCATCTTCGAACAGCCAATAAGATCAAGACCTTGGAAAAACGGGATATGAGCCCTAAATGAAAGGATATTTCAAAAACTTTGAGAGTTTTCGATTATCGAGTAATTATAAAATTGAAACTCAAATATTATTATCATACGCATTTCATCATTTCAGGCAGTTTTTATTATCTTACCCTGAATACACCCTTATCCGGATAACTATCGTGACACCACAATGGAGTCGATAAGAAAAAAAGCTCATAAAGCTCATAAAAAAGTACTGTTTCAAGCGCACAACATTATTTCTGAGATTACAGATCTCAAGAAAGAGGCGATGCTTCAGGGAAAAATTAAATTTGGGTCGATATCGGAAACCAGAATTTGAAAAACTGAGATTTGATTTGGAAATTATTCATACGCTAAATGTCATCATCTTTGTTCGGAGTAAAATTGTAGTAAATGAAATGGTCCCGAGTTGTCTTCCATAAAAAAACGAAGAAAAGTAAAAGAAAGTTATATAGACGATTCAAATGATTAGGCGTCCTTCCACGTTATCGAAACAACAGGTGAATATAAACATTCTTGAATATCCAATAAAAGAACTGAAGTGATAAGCAAATGGAACAAGTGAAAAGAAAATCCACTAAATATGTCTCGATTTTTATACAGTAGCCGATGATATCAGGTCATTGGTACACCTCCAGCCTAATAAAATGAATCTTTTTAATTAATTCGCGAACGTCCTTCTCAACGGAGCTCGTAGCCTCAGAAATGTGCTTACCACTGTTAAAAAATAATTTAATTCAATTAAAAAGAATAATTTTATAATGCAGGAGGTGTACCAATGACCTGATATCATCGGCTACTGTATAAAAATCGAAGTAGTCCATTAGGACCACGTGCGATGAATACCTCTGAGATCGGAGTTATCACGTCTTTAATACCTTCTATGCTTCTATGGCACTAACTGGTCCAACCGGCAAATAATCTGAAATTTAAATCACAAGGACACATACACAATAGAAATTCAGCAACAGTTCATGAAGCTTCCCCCTTATCCCTGAAACTTATTTTGCATAGTATTTATCTCTCTCTTAAACAGTGTAGGAATATCTTGAACATAAGGTCAAACTATGCAGGAGATGGTACCGCACGACTTTCAGTTATCATTTTCAATGAAAAATAAATTATGTAGTTTTTATCTACCCAAAAGTGACATACGGTTTGGGCTGTTGTTTATACCAAATGAATAACTAAATTATGAGAATATTGTCAAATACGCGCAGAAAGATTTCCGTAATCTTACCAAGCTAGGTTAGTCGATACGCGATAGGTTTTATTAGCTCTAAAAATCTGTTTATATGCCTCTCTTCCTGGAGTCACTAGATATTTCGGCGAAGGTCGCACGTCGTAGTGCAAACCACGAACACAAGATTACGTAACGCATTGCGAACGTAAAAAGGCT